GTTCCCTGTGGGGGGGGGGGGGACGAGGTCAAAGTGATTCTCGATTCCCGGATTGTTACTTTTCTGTCATCCCACTTACCACCAAAAGGTGTTCTATTCTCAGTTTGCCCTGCCCCGTTGGTTTCACTCGTTCTCATGTTACTCAATTCTGTGCGAGGGATCGATTGTGGGTCAAATGTGTGTGTGTGTGTCTGTGTGTGTGTGTGTGTATATTCGTGTACGAGGTTGACATGCGGATGCGTTACTATTGAACATCAATAGCACACACAAAATCGATCCTCATTGAGTGCAAACTCAAAACACTAGATGGGTTAGTGAGTAGACAACTCGGATTAAAAAGCAGACACTTTAGACCAGGCGAAGTAGCTTTGATTTCCTGCCGATTTGACGCGTATATGACGTTTTCGTTCGACACCCACAGTGCGTCAAATGTGCCATTTTTGTTCCAGTGAGTCTGTCAATCTTTTCACCAATTTTAGATTTTTTAAAATGCTCGTTTATGCATGCCGTGAAACGATCTGATATCGTTAGGTCAATATGCGGTTAAAATGTAGTTGATCATTCAGAATTGATGTTAATTAAGCAGGATAAATTAAAATGAAATTCACTAATGATCCAATAATCTGAAAACGATCCGACACAATGGAATAGTACCATTCACCCGGGATCAAAGAAACACCTCCGAAAGACCTTTTTAATTTACCGAATTACCTCATATGGAAACATTACGAATTTTTCGTGTTCGATTTTGATCAAATGTGTGCACTTTTTTCGGTGAAAGTTTACTATTATATTCCGCTGATTATTAACACTAGTCTGATAGACCAATGAGTAAACGGATTCAATTGATTTTGAAAACAAAAAAATAATTTACTCATTCATTCTAGAAATATACTAATTGTAAACAGTGATTTGCGTAACTTATCAACTAACCACGTGATTTTGAATTGGCAAATGTATTAATTTTTTCACGCACAATAATCCCCTCTAATCAATCTATAATACACGCACGTACGAATAAACGTTCATCTCGGCTTCAGTAATTCAGTTATTTTCATTTGAAATCAAGCTTAAAGCACTGAAAGATTCCTTGCCTAAAAATGTACTTAATTCCACCAAATACAACACCGTGAAATCAGACGGGTTACGGGGGCGATTTTTGCTTCTCCATCATTGGTCCAAATCTGCCGCGCTCTGATTGGTCATTTCCATGTCAGTTCGCGTTCGGACAGCCCATCAGTATTTGGTTGCATTTATACAGTCACCCGGGTGGTGTGCAGCAACTTTTGTGCTCGGATATACGGAAATTATTTTTCTGGAATTGTTTTTTTTTGAAACATGTTTTCGGAAAAATCACACAGTACAGGCGATGATCATCCACCGGTGCGGTTGCCCGATAAGCGTGCGGATCCGCGCGAAACATCTGCCAGCCATCGTAAGAGAAAATTTCATCGGAAAACCGGTGTCACCGCACTGGCGGCACCGAATCTGGAACAGTTACAACGAGCTGCCGGCTCACGATTCAACTGGGCCCTGACCACCAGTGTTCTGGCCACATCTGTGAAAAAGCAGGCCTCCTCGGTCTTATTCCAATTCGCACGTCGTAAACGTTCTCAGATCGAGAACCCGATCATTGATGTGACCAAGTGTAGCACCCCACCCGCGGAATCGCCGAATTACATGTCGGCATCCATGGAAGAGGTGGGTCATCCAGACAGTGCTTGTAGATCACTATCGGTCGGGACATACGATCAAAATTCCGTGTGTTTGGGGCAAACTTTCAGTGGGACAACATATTCGCCATCGCTTGAGAGCAGTTCCGGGTTGTGCAGTCCACATTCGGAGAATGAATACACTCCGGTCAATAGAAAAGGTCGGCGTCACTACTCGGGTGGAAGTGAGGGTAAACCTTGCCTGGCCTCCGAACCCGGAACAGATGACAGCTCAAATACACCCCGATCAAAACGGTTTTCATGTAGCCATGTGAAATTCTCTGACGAGCTGAATACTGTGGATTCACTTGGTAAAGACAATGCGTTATCGGCGGA